GCAGGGAGACTGCCGTTTGGCCACACAAAGCCCAGACACACAAACACACAGACCACACAACTCAAGAACACCCTAGTATAGACATCCCTCAGATAACACAGCAGAGCTCTGACAGAGGGGGCCCTTGGGCAACACACAGACAGCCCGACACCCACCCCTTCTCCAGACTCCCTGATCCGTGAAGACCACCCACTACTCCTAGAACATTCTCATTCTGTCTTCTCCACAACCAGGAGATGTAGGCAGCAGTGTCCCCCCAGTGTTCAGGATAGATGAATATAGTGATTTTGAAGCTGTGGTTGGGGGTTGCACTGCCTGGGGTCCAATCTGGGACCCACCAATTACTTGCTGCTTACTTCACCTCTTGAAGCCCGGGTCTTCAAGCCTGGAAAATGGGCACACTAGTTAGGACTTCTCTTGCAGGGTTGCTCTGAGGATGAAAGCAGGGAACCCAGACAAAACACGCACAGCACCTGGCACACAGTGTATTTCCCGTACGCGTTAGCTTTCACCATTATCGCACCCAGACAGACAGATGCGGCAAGACACACACTGCACCCCACCCCAGCACCCTTCCCCATACACAGCACAAAGGAAAAGGCAGGACAACCCGGCCCTCGGCATACCCGCATCTGGCCCCGTTCCTTACCCTCCCCCTCCCTCCAAGTGCCCAGGAATCCCTCAGAACCCTCCCACTTTATGCCCCAGACCAGGAAGCCCACCGCCACCCCTCCGTAACCCACGCTCTCCAAGTCACAAAGCAGAGTCCCTAAGTCGGCCCTAACGAGACTTGTTCAAAACAAACGTCTCCCCCTTCTCCCACGCCAGTCTCCGGCATGAGGCAACTCTGCAGTCGGACTGGCCACCCTCTGCTCCCCGGCTCTGGCTGGACAGGTTGCTTTCCCCACCTCCCCCCTCCACACCCCGATCGTGCCAGAAGCTGGAGTAACTCAACCCAGTCGGCCGAAAGGGGGGGCGGGGAGGGGGCCGGGCAGAAGGGACCCCCAGGAATCCAGCCCAGTCCAGTCTGGAGGCGGAGGCTGCCAACTGGAAAGGCTTTGAGAGAGGAGCTTGAGGGTGCTCAAGAAAGGGTAAACACACACACACACACACACACACACACACACACACACACACACACACACACACACACACACCTGCAATACACCCTTTGAGGGAAACTTTCTTAACAATTGCAGAGACCTCTTTTGACAAGCTCCGGAGCCGTCGCGGGGTGTGCAAAGCACAAGTCCTCGAATGGGACGTCTAAAGCCGCTCCGGTGTAATCGCCCCCCTGCCCCACCTCCTCTGGTCCCTCCGAGCCCGAGGGCTGGCGGCTCTGAGCCCCCGGACTGTCCGAAACTTCGGGTCGGGAAGCTCCGATGGCCCCTCTGTTCCCGTCTGACCAGGGATTTAGACGGGGGTCCCAAGCTGCACGGGCCCGTCGCCGCTCCCTGCCCTCCCCACCCCAGACCCACCTTGGGTGCCCGCGGCTCCGGGGGGCAGGAGGGCGAGGAGGAGCCCCCAGCGGCACCAGGCCGCCAGCTCCATGGCGCTCACTGCGGCTCCGTCCCCATGGCTCCGGCTAGACCAGGCGGCGAGGACGCCGCGCGGGCGAGGGGAGGGGGCCGGGCGCTCGCGCCGGAAAGAGCACCCAGCGCAGGGGCGGCCGGCGGCCTCGGGGGGTCTTCTCGGCTCTGTGGGCGCGCGGTGGAGGGGAATCTCAGCTCCTCAACTTCATTCCTCTACTTCCTCAAGGCAGCCCTCCTCCTCCACCCCCTCCTCCTCCCGTGATTGGCAGCCAGCGCGC